ATTTTGAGCTGGCTCATGTTTTCCCAATGCTCACAACAAAAAGAACACAAGGTCGTCACAACTTATTAAATATTATTTTTGTTGTTGCTGTTGTTGTTTACGACGCTCGGAACTACAAGGTAACATTTTAAGAGCGCGCGGGACACAGTAACATGGGAATTCATTTTGAATTTTTCTCTGGTGGCGGCAGAAGCCTACTCTTATTATCAATTATTTTAGGACCGCCAAGGGAACTTTAACGTGTGCAACATGTACACGGGACCTCCAAGATTTTTTCGTTCTTATCCGAGAAAGCAGGATGTTAGATCTTAACTAACTTAATTTAAGCGCAGGGCAGTTGCTGAAAGACACGCTCTATCTTCGGCTGTCTGCTGGGACGTTGTATCCCTGTTAGCCCGGTCTGGCCCTGACAGGGAGGTTAGACCCCCCCCCCTCCCCGGGGCAGTGCCACTGACTGTAGTGTCTTTAGGCTATTCCCAAAGGGGGGACATTTCTCGTTCAAGCATAGTAGAATTGTAAATGGGCTGATTCATCATGTCACGCTCATAACTGTGCCTGATCTACAACAGGGAACTGCTGCTTTTTCTTTCCAAATCCTTACTATCGTCATTTTTCCTCCACTTCGTTTATATGTTTGTCACTCTCTTGTGAACTGCTATTTCCGGGGTGCCTTGATAGTCGAAGCAGACCTTGTGCTGTTGAAGCTAGAGGGGTGAGCAGAGTAAGTCTGAATCCCTGTAAAGACTTCTCTGTTGACACCCACCCCTTGGTGCTCATATGACCTTATGCAGTTGCGAGTGCCGTAAAACCTCTAATAAAAAACAACAACAACAAACAGGGAGGTTTGAAGCAGCCCGCCTCTTAAATTGTCGCTTTTAAGCACAAGGGGGCTATCCCTAAAAAAGCTGTTTTGAAAAAAAAGAAGGTAAAGTTTTTACCCCTGGTTCAGATTCTCTAAAAGACAAGAAGAGTTTTCTCTATAACCAAACAAATCTACACACCAATGGAACCAAACTTCTCCTATAGGTAGGGCAAAGCCCACTTTTGGTGTATGTTAAGATTTCTGGAATCCCCCGAAATCTGGATTAGCCCGTTTGTCCTTAAAAGCGACCAAATGATCTAAATTGTGCCGACAGAGGAGTAAAATCTAAACAGCTACAATAACTGACAAAAGCTCCACAGGTTCTTTCGAGACGCGTTATAAATATTCTTACCCGTTGAGCTTTAAAAAACCCCAGCAAGACACGCTTATCAGCAACTCAAGCTAGAGAGGTGAGCAGAATAAGTCTGATTCCCCGTAAAGACTTCTCTGTTGACTCCCACCCCTTAGCGCTCATATGACCTTATGCAGTTGCGAGCGCCGTAAAACCCTCTACTAAAAAAAAAAAAATCTCTGAGTTGCAGGGAAGACCTGGACCGGCGTCTGTGACGTAGCGGTTAGGCGCTTCACCGTCGCACGTAGACGACTCGGGTTCAATTCCAAATGGCTACCAAAATAAAAATTATATGCGTTTGTAATTTTTTTTTTTTTGGTAAGTGTTTTACGGCGTTCGCAACTGCATACCGTCATATGAGCGCGCGGGACATGCTATTAAACACGTATGTGAATAATGAGCAATCACTAAATACAGTGAAAACAATGTAGAAGCAACAGAATGGTCTCTTAGGAGACTGTTGAGAATTTCTTGAAATGAAAAGAAATAAAAATAATGTAGAAGCCCACGAAGGCCACTCGCTGATTAAAACCAGATAGGAAGAGACAAATGCAGCTTCAGGGACTCTTGAATAGACAAAAGGCCTTGAACATCAAGATCTCCCTGCCCTTGTCGTTTGGCATCGTGTCAAACTGCAACGCTCTATCTCAGACCCCCCCCCCCCACACACACACACCCCAACAGTTCCCCTTGTTTTTTGTTTGTTTTTGTATTTTTTGTTGTTGTTGATCACGATACCGTTGACCGACACCTTCACGTCGGAAAACAAGACTTGAGAGAACGATTTATTGTGTTGCATCGTGGTAAGATCAGCCGCTCGTTAATAATTATGAAATAGAAGAAAACCATATTATCTGCCCGTTGGGCAAAAGGTGTACATGTTTTAGAGGGTGGTTCAGCACATTTTCTGTACATTTAAAAACACACTTCTTTGTGGATATTACAGGAAAACTTTCATCAAATGCACTAAAGAAAATGAAAAATTGTATTTTCCAACGACTCTCAATCTCTGAAAGTTTCCGAATAAGATCAAAATAACATTGAGTGTGTATCTAGCTTACGATTATTATTGTTTATATTTTATATTGCTGCTCATTTATATTATGCATGCGATTGTAAGCCTACGTGTGTGTGCATTTGTGTGCGCGTGTGTGTGTGCGCGCGCTTATGTGTGTGTGTGTGTGCGTGTGTGTGTGTGTGTGTGTGTGTGTGTGTGTGTGTGTGTGTGTGTGTGTGTGTGTGTGTGTGTGTGTGTATACACGTGGTGAAACACCAAACCAATGTGCCAGGATCTGGACAATAAAGATGTATCTTATCTTATCTTATCTTATCTTATCTGAACTATGGGAGCCATTTCCTTGCTCATTTTACTTCTCTGACACTGACCCCCGGCCACCCTTACTCCCTTCACAATCGCAAACATCCCGACTTGCCATTGGCCAAAATCCAAAAAAAATATTTTAAAAATGACGAGCGCCTGATTGCACGGTGTCGCGACACATTTTTCACTGACCATCATACTCTTTTTCTTGTCGTAAGAGTTTTACGGCACTTGCAACACAATATGGTCTTACAAATGCCGAATAATAGACGTGTTACAAGAGAGTAACATACGCAACAAAGAAGGAGGAGAGGTAAGGACGATAGATGTTTGATAGAGGAAAGAAGGAGCAAACCACACCAGAGCACCCACCAACCACCCACATTATTGTTCTGGAACAGAGATACAAGCGAAGTGGACAATCACCACACATGATAAGACACTCAACGAAAGCCCAGGACCTACCTCGTCGATAACAACAACAATGACGACAACAATAACAACAAAAAACAACAATCAACAGCAACAACAAAATAGGGCCTACAACAAAGTGGGAGTTGGCCTCTCACTCAAAAGGTCCCGGGTTCGAATCCGGGTAGCGACCGAAAACTTTTCTTCTCTAAATTTGTCTCCTTTCACCACCTTTCCTGCTCTCTAGCAATGTTCTGTCGTCTGCTTTCGTCCCTTCTTTCTGCCCCCACCACCTGGGCTCCTGATTCTTTCTGCAGCCTTTCTACTGCTACTCCTTCGCTTCTTCTTACTGCAGTCTTTCAGCCACACCCCTGATCTTCTGGTAGGAAAGATCTACACCTAGCCTTCTCGGACAAAGGCGAAAAATCTCGGAGGGCCCGTGTGCAAGTTGCGCACGTTAAAGATCCCTTGGTGGTCTAAAATCGATAAGAGTAGGCTTCGGCCGCCACCCGGGCAAAATTCAAAATTTCCTACCAACTGAAAATATTAGGTTTGTCCCGCGCGCTCATATGACCTTATACAGTTGCGAGCGCCGTAAAACACTTTACAAAAACAAAACAAACCAAAGTGGACAATCACCACACATGATAAGAAGACACTTACTATGTAGATAACGACAGAAGAACCCCCCCCCCCAAACAAACAAACAAACAAACAAACAACAACAACAACAATAATAGCAGCAGCAGTGTCAGCAACAATAACAACAGCAACAGCATAAATTTGACTAAAAACACAGCCAGCAGCGACAAAGCATGAAGGTTGAGCTGACCTCATTCCCGTGGCCGCAGACGACATCTGTTGGCAGACGGACTCCTCTATTGTGCCGCGCGAGGAAAAGCGAGGTGTCACGGCGTGGTGGAATCAGGCGCTCGTCAATATTTGGGCACATGGGGGGGTTATTGGTATCATCTTAAAGCCTGTTTATTTGCCTAGCTTTTAATGAAAGAAAAATATCAGTCTTAGTTGAATAGAAGACGAAATACACACGTATTTGCGATTGAAGGAGGTCAGGGTCACCTGGTTTCAGAGGTAAAACTACTGAGAAATGGCCACCAAAGTTTTATAATTTCCATAGCTCGAGAGTCTTTGGAAACTGAAAATTTACTAAATTTTGTGCCTTTAATCAATGTTTCCCCCCCATTAAAATCCAAACAGAAATGCATTTTTAAGTGGATATGTAGATTAAAAGGTGTTGAGCCAACAAAAAAAGAAAGAAAAGAAAATAGAAAAAAAAAAACCCAACGGCCAGAAAAATGCCAGTTTCTTTGATTCCATTATTTTGACGAGCGCATGATTTAACCACGATACCATTGTTATTCTTGCCGTCGTAACTGTAATGAAAAATGTCTGCTGGTCAATTAATGTTTTGTTGTTCTGTTTCTTTTTGTTTGCTGTTCGAACACCGTTGTTATCAGTAGAGAAGAGCAAATTGTCTGTTCAGCGATTTAATTCAGAACATGCTCAGGAGATCTTTTTGTTGATTCAGCATTCCACGCCGATATTTTACAACATTTCGATGGTTGACAAGCTACAAAATCTTCATAGTTAAAGAAGAGAAGTACCAAAGCTTTGTTTAACGACGTGATGTTCCTTTTAACATGCAAATTGACTGCTTTTGTTGGCTGATATTAAGTTCCAAATTCTTGTTGTATTTACAATCGATTGGTTACAGCCTTATCTGGCGCTTGTTTACGTAGACCAATAACTGGAGTTTATGTCCTTTTTTTGTTTGGTACCGTGAGTCGCTACAATTTATTTAGAACAACAAAGGGTCTCAATTCTGTCCCCGCGGTTTTATGCACACAAAAAAGTTATGAAATTATGCAAAACTGAGCCCAAAAATATGAAATTATGCGATTCTGTTATTTTTAACAAAGAACGATAAAGGAAAATAATCAGAAATTAAGCAAAAACTGAATCAAATTTTGCTTAATTATACGGGGTGCATAAAACCCAGGGGACAGAATTGCATAAAAGCCCAAGCCTCTAACGCCTTTTCGACATCTCCCAGAACAGATCCGCAGCTGGTAGACAACAGCTAGAGGTAAGATCGTGACACTTGATATTTTTCACCCAATTTTCTATCTTTCCTGATCTTTCCTCATTAACACATTCGATGCTAGTCTCTTCTACGCTTTGAAGCCGATAATTACTTTTCGTCAACTTCATTCATCATTGTCGTATGTCAAAATAAGAGGTTTTCAGGACAAGCAAAAAGCTGTTTCATTTTGCCCAAGACACTTCTTTAATTCAACATTAATGTTTAATTCTTCTAAATCTGTCATCATTTTGCGAAAAGAAATGCGACAAATCGATACGCCGCATCAAACTCTACCACACTTGATTTTCATTTTTCGAAATTTTGACCGACTACAATGTTAAACGTTGAATGATGGTGACAACTTGGCATCGCCAGACATCCTACTTCGTCTAGGCTTTGGGGTCTTGTGACCGACGCAAGGGAGACCTTAGACAACAATGTTCAGGCGCTTGGCTTGTATCATTTGTTCTTCTCCAATATAAGACTAGCTTGGCCCCCTTTCGATGAAAGGAAAGATCGGTGCATTATCATCAACTGAAAGTCATTGGCCTACTATATTTACACTCTACTGGAATGGAGCAATAAATCTTGAGAGATGCAAAAAATTAGAAGGCAGAAGGTCTAGATCTACACTCTCAAAACAAAATGCGCCTTGCGAAATATCACTTCCGGCACTTCCATTGTGAAGAGCAGCTACGCAGATTTGTTTCGTTTCTAAGTGGAATAATCACAAAGGCCAAAGAAGGACGGGAACTTTTTGTCAAATATATTTGTCTAAATTCAGGAAATGAATCAATAAAAAAATCGGGCTTCGTCATGGGGACCTATCTATCTTTTTGCAGGCACTTGCCAACTTTCAACTCTGTAGCTGTCGTAGTCATACGGGAAAAGTGACACATCTGTTTCCAAGTTGCCAAATATATAATACATGTAATAGATAACCGGCGAAGATCTATGTGGTCAGTCGGTTAGGGGCTTCGCTGTCTCAAGCAGCAGACCTGAGTTCGATTCCCGTGTGGGGATAATTTTTATTGAGCATCTCGGTCTTACTATTGGGACATTGTATCTGTTCTATCCCTCTCTACTTGCGTTGGCCGTGATTGATAAGCAGGGTGGAATCCCGTCTACAAAAGATTATCCAAATTGTGTCTATGGGGGCATGAAAACAACCTACGTTTTTTAAAAAGGAGTCCAGTTATGATTAATTTAACTCCGGACTGACGAAATAGTTCATATCGAAAACTGAACTGTGAGTCGGTATATAATAACATGTTAACACATACAAGTAGGTGTAGGTGTAGGTAGGTGTAAGTGTAAGCGTAAGTGTAAGTGTAGGTGTAGGTGTAGGTAGGTGTAAGTGTAGGTGTAGGTGTAGGAAGGTGTAAGTGTAGGTGTAGGTGTAAGTGTAAGCGTAAGTGTAGGTGTAGGTAGGTGTAAGTGTAGGTGTAGGTGTAAGTGTAAGCGTAAGCGTAAGTGTAAGTGTAAGTGTAGGTGTAGGTGTAGGTGTAGGTGTAGGTGTAAGCGTAAGTGTAAGTGTAGGTGTAGGTGTAGATGTAGGTAGGTGTAAGTGTAAGTGTAGGTGTAAGTGTAAGCGTAAGTGTAGGTGTAGGTGTAGGTGCAGGTAGGTGTAAGTGTAAGTGTAGGTGTAAGTGTAAGCGTAAGTGTAGGTGTAGGTGTAGGTGTAGGTAGGTGTAAGTGTAGGTGTAGGTAGGTGTAAGTGTAGGTGTAAGTGTAAGCGTAAGTGTAAGTGTAGGTGTAGGTGTAGGTAGGTGTAAGTGTAGGTGTAGGTGTAAGTGTAAGCGTAAGTGTAAGTGTAGGTGTAGGTGTATAGGTTTAGGTGTAAGCGTAAGTGTATGTGTAGGTGTAAGTGTAGGTGTAGGTATAAGTGTAGGCGTCTATACCTACTAGGTATATGTGCAATTATAAGTATATGTATCTATATATATTTATATATGTAGTGGTGGCATCTGGTGGTAGGTTTGAGGAACATGTTCACTTTTGCGAGAAGTGACGGTTTAATATGACTTCTCGAACAAAGCACCAACTTTATTTATCACTCTCAGCATAGCACTCTTAATTTTTTAAAAACACCCCCCCCCGGACAAAACAAACAAAACACTCTCCATCTCTCCAATATCCACAAGTTTGTGCGTTCTGCACCAATTCCCGGGCCTAGTTAGTCACCAAGCAAGAAAACAAACCCTGTCTAGGCGATCGAGTCGGGCGATCGGCCCGATACAGCCGTAGTGGGCACCCCGTATGTTGGCTTTGACCTACATTTATATGTGGCGCAATAGCCATCTCAACAATGGGAGGGAGAAACATCTGTTCATGCTCGGCGCAAGCTAGCGGAACCAATCAAATTACTCCAAGTCGTAAATTGGTGTAACCGATAGCAGCCAATGGCGTTTCCGCGAATAATGTCAGTGGTTCCCACGGAAAGCCCTATTTTGCCCATCTGAGTTGTGCTCTATTACATGTATTTGCAATTCGCACATCTCGTTGATGAATAAAACAGGGGAGGGAACACAATGCAGTCGGCTCCATTTGTGTTGAACTACATGTAGTTTGAGTTGATCTTCGGATACGTTGAATTTTTTTCTCGGGTCTAAGGCTAAGAGGCCCTTTACACATGCAGTTCATTCAACGACAAACTGTAGGATATCGAAAGAATGGCGGGGATCCTGTCAACTTCCCGGTAAAATTGAGATTGGAAACGAGCAATCCTCGGAGCGTTCTTACTGATTCTTAGTCCAGCCACCAGATTTAGGTCTAGCTGTGTAAGTAAGAGTTTTACTGCATTATAAGGTCATTTTAATATGAGCGGGCTCTCGGGTCGAAGCAACTCTTCTTCTGTAAGCTAGTCGACGGTAGATTCAATCAAGTTTCTAGCACGTGCCGTTTTGAAAGACACACTTGTTGCCAACAGAGTTAAGTGACGAGGGAGGTGTTGATTTGATAGTACAGAGTAACGAGACGGTGGGGTTACAAAAGATTTGACCTATTCAAATGTTGGAAAACCTGAAAGAGTTCTTAAACAATCTCAATTTCATGAGAAGTATACAGTATAAGCTGCCATTTTATAGGCCCTAAAACACTAACATGCTGATCAGATCGTTCGCTGTCTACGGCCGGGTACCTATTCTCACTTGGGTGAAGTGAGGACAATTCGTGTAAAATGCGTTTTCCAAGGAGATAATATCCGGCCTGAGGCTCGAACCTCGAACTCACTGTCTCCCGATTACGAGTCCGGTAGCCTAACCACTAGCCTACGGATTTCACATTCGATTACTATATGCTACTCTGATCCACCCCGACACCCCCTTTTTAAACACCTGCTCCCTTTGAAAATGGTGAAATGGTACATGTATAGGTTTGACGCCCCTATCAACACTAGTAGAGACTAGGTTATTTAAGAGGCGGGACCTCCGAGTTTAACGTCCGTCTCCGAAAGGACCGAGCCATGTGGGAAATTCGTGTAAAGTGCCTTTCCCTAGGACACAACGTCGGACCGAGTTGAGGCTCGAACCCCCGAACCCGCAATCTCACGATTACGAGTCCTGTACCCTAACCTCTAGAACGAGGCCACCAACGCCACCCCACCCCCTTTGTACAATTATGAACTCAGAAACAGTTCTGAATGACCCCCGGTGTGAAAGATCCCACCCAGTCGTTTCTGTCCTTCCGGTTCAACCTCTGAAAGAAAAGAAGCTCAGCTGATGTGGCGTCGGTAGTCTGGTGGTCAGGCTACTGGAATCGTAATTGGGATGTTGGGGGTTCGGGGGTTCGAGCTGCGGGCCCGACGTTGTGTATTTGGGAAAGGCACTTTACGCGAATTTTCCTCACTTCACCCAGGTGGGAATGGGTACCCAGCCATAGACAGCAAAATATCTTGTCAGTATGTTAGTGTTTTTTGCGCCCATAAATGTCAGCTTGCACTGTATGCTTCCCAGGAAGTTGAGTTTATTTCAGAATGCTCTCAGGTCTGTAAGCGCATAGAGCTTGCTGTTGAGTGGGGATTTGCGCTGTACAAATGCTATCAAATATTATGATAATTAATTTTCTGTTTTGAGCCATGCCGTACTTCGTCAAACATGAAGGAACATTATAATTGTCGTTTCAGAAACTCGCAAAGATTTCCTGACTGTGCTTCCGACTGTGCCGTTCCCCGCAATGGCAGTAGACATCCGCACCTCGTGTTGTCTGCTCCTGCTTCTCGTCGCCTCGAGCCAGGCAGCCTGGTGTCGCAACGAGTATTGGACTGGGATTTTCAACAAACAAGGTTTAGCTAAATGCGAGGACACAAAGCACGCCTACATGCAAGGCATCCACCGGCTGGCCAAGGGTTCCCCTGACGGCATCTCCTTGATCGACCAAGTCGGCTGCTGCTACGGCACTATCCCCTACACGTACGACTTCTCCCAGGTCTACTACGCCGACTGGACCAAGAGTTTCGATGCCAACAACCGATGGAACTCCTGTCCTCGTGGCTACTTCGTGCAAGGTCTCTACAGAGACAAGGGCACAAACACGCTGCAGGACATCGCAGAAGGCCGATGCATCAAGCCAGCCTCTCACCCTTACAGATATGGCGAGTGCTACGACCTGAGCATTAGCCCCTTTTTCGAAACCGAGGGCTGGCACAGATGTAACGATCACTTCTTCATCACCGGCATTTATCGCGGAGGCTGCAACGAGCTGTATTGTCTCAAAACTCTCAAGTGTTGCAAGATGGCGCCTCAGCCCCAGGTCGTCAACTCTCTGTCGGCTGCCAAGGTTATGGTGATGGACAACACCATGTCCGATTTGGCCAAACTGGCAGACATGTTGGGCTACGGCTGGTGTGCCGGATGTCGCGCGGCGTTCGTCGGAGAGGACTTCCGGAGAGACGGAGACAAGTGGGTGGCCGACAAGAGAGAGCCCTGCGACGGGTACAAGGCAGATCACCGGCTGTCCATGGAGTACGGGGACTGGAAGTTTGCCATCAAGGAGATGGTCTTTGGCGACCCAATCATCCAGGACCTGCAGCCCGAGGCTATCGACACCGGCATCTTGACGAACGACTCCCCGAACACAGTGACCCACGAGCTGGAGCGAGGTACCGAGGTGACTCGCACCGTGACCCACACAGCTAGCTCCGAGTGGAAACACTCGGAAGAACTTGGACTCACCGTAGGCTACGCCCCTCCTGACGCAACTGGCGGTTTTAGTGTGGAGTCTAGCTTCACCTTCAACTACGAGAAGTCGTCAAAGACGGAAGATGCCAACGGCAAAGAACAGAAGAAGAGCTTTTCTGTCAAGCAGAGCACCAAGGTTCCAGCCAACTCGGCCGTCAAGTGGACCATGATCCTGTCCAAGACACGCCGCACCGTGCCGTACACCGCTAAGGTCGTGGTTCAATTCTCCGCAGAGCTCCAAGGCTTCCTGCGATGGGGAGGAGGCGTCAACGGCGACACCACCAACTTCCACAACTCGTACAAAGGCAGCGGAGCAAGGCCCACCTTCAACTACAAGTTCGGCTCCCCCAAGACGCCTTTCTACGAAGCTCTGAAAGAACAGAGTGACACCATGCAGTACCCGTGGCTGTGGGCGGACATGGAGGCGAGGTACTCCAACGCCCGGGAGCTCATCGAGAGCCTGTCAGACGAGGGGCGCTACGAGTTCTTCCTCAACGGAAAGTTTGACGACATCAGCGGAAAAGACGTGCAGATCAAATGGAACGACGCAGGCAGCGCCCGCAGACGCAAGAGATCGGCCGATAAAGGAATCACCCAGGTGGTGGCCACAGAGGGCGCTAACGACCCACCGGAAGTGTTCCCACCCCCACCCGTGGTGAAGAAAGACCCCGTGGTCAGAGTGGACACTCTGAACGAGATGCCCATCCAGGGAGACTGATCTCAAAGTCTTCCTACGGACTCACCGTTTTTAGGGCAACCTAGAAGGGTCACCTATTCTTCTTGAAGACTTATAGGCCTACTTATAGGTTTTTCGTTTCATTTAATAAACAGATAATATACCTTTTTTTTCAAATTAAAGAATGCAGATTCCTTAAAAGACGAAAAAGGTGTCATTTTGGAAACATGAAAACTTGACTTAAAAACACTTCATCAGTTTCAGTTTGGTAGAAGAGCCCGACCCACTGCAGGGCAAACAAAGGACCTGACACAGTCCACGTAGAGAAACATTCCGAGAAAAGTCGAACAGGGTACAATTTTGAGGTGTCTATGTAAAAGAGTTGTGCCCATTATATTATGTAGGGCCACTTCAACTACAATAAAAGATTGGTGAATGGAAACTAAAAATAGTTTCATTGTCATTACATGTATTGTCGCTGCTGTTATTGCTTCTGCTGATGCTGTTACTTTTACTATAGCATGCAAATGACGTGAGATCAGTTCCCACGTAAGAGGAGATCGGGAACGTATCTGTGGAGGGTAGACCCAGCCCCCCCCCACACACACACATGTTTTAAAATATTAAAATGTATAATTTTTGAAAATTAAATCACAAACGTTATGCATAGATCTAGATGATACTGATTTGCCCGGTTGTGAAAAAGAAAGACTTCAGAAAGTTTGAACATCAATAAATAACGCTCGTCGGTAAGAAAAACAAAGCAACAAATAAACGAAAGAAGACGCCTTTTGCACTTGCAGGAGAAGCAAAAGACATCGGCTTCCAACTTCTGAGGATCTGAGAACGCACGCACATCGGACCCTCAATGATATACTGGAAAAATAAGGTGGACTTTTAAAAAAATTCATTGGTATTAGATTCTACTTTTTGTTATTAGTAACAAACAAACAAAAAAGAAAAAAAGGTGGGGGGGGGGGGGGGGGCGGGCGAATGCGTGTTGCTCGATTTTCTCTTGTGTCCTTTTTCCTATTCTCTAGACATGTTATGTCGTCAACACTTTCTCACCGAAACATCTCTTTAAAAAAAAGAAAAGAAAAGAAAACCTCTTTCACTGTTTCCTGATCTTCTTACGGTAGGAACGACGAGATCTAGATCTAGTACATTGTACAAGTACAGTATAGTCATCCGACCCAATGTTCCACTCCTCAGGGAACATATTTTTTCCTTAAATATACAGTCTAGAGCGCACCTCAATACACACAATGCACATAGATCTACGATAAATGAGGTCTTATCATCAAGTCAGACAAGTCTCATCAATACGCTTCCTCCGAATTACAAAGTTCTGTATGCTCAGTGCCTAGTTTTGAGAAAATTGACGTCAAAGATTTTAAGTTTCGCAACACGTCAAGCTTTTTCGAATGCAATTGTTTGAATACATGTATCGATCTTGAGAACGACTCCGAATAATCTCACGATTTTGGATAGAGCAGACAGAACATTGGGTTTTGATCTAATGGTCTTAATCTCAGTTACCCAAAACGGCCAAAAATGCCCGCTAATGTAAAACTTTGTAACTCTGAGGTAGAGACGGTTGTTTATCGCTTGTTTGTTTTTTTGTTGTTGTTGTTTTTTTTAACTTTAGTTAAGCGTTTTAGAGCACTTGCAACACAATTAGGTCATGTAAGTGCCGAAGATTTAGAGATTTGTTTTTAGTCTCTAGAGAGAAAACAAACACATAAAAGTAAAAGAAAGAATCAAGGACGATAGATATGTTTGCTTCTGAAAGAAGGAGCAAACCCGCACCAGAGCACCCGCCAACCGCCCACGCTTTTTAACTTTACGACGGCACTTGAAGCGCAATTAGATACGTACTGAAGATTTGAGGAGTTACTAAACTAAGAAAGTAACATACACAGTACAAGAAAAAGGAGAATAGGAGAGTTTGACTTCAGTTTTGGTACAGTACGGCACTCGCAACTGTCTAAGGTCATATTCTTCTTCACCAGAAGATAAGTAGAGTTAGAGCTGTTACAAGAGAGTAACAAACATTTAAAAAAAGAAAACGGGGAGACGATAGATGTTTGACTGGAAAGAAGAAAGAAGCAAACCACACAAGAGCACCCGCCAACCACCCACGGATAGGAGAATAACGACAGCAGCAGATGTTTAGACTGGAAAGAAGGAACCCACCACCACAAGAGAACGCTAGTAACCTACACTGTTCAGTAACCGAGGGGAGGGGGAAGAAATAATTAAACAGTCCCCGTGGCTTTATGCACCCCGAATAATTTAGCAAAATTCGACATTTTTGGCCTAATTTCTGATTATTTTCCTTTATCATTTTTTGTTAAAATTAACAGAATCGCATAATTTCACGTTAAAATTTTGGGGCTCAGTTTGCATAATTTCAGAATTTTTCTTGCATAAAACGATGGGGACAGATTTCATAATGTGACTGAGACATCTCTACTGACACTTTCCACGCCCTGGACGCTTACTGACCCCCCCCCCACACACACACGGGTGCTGGTCACCTGTCCAAACTATTCAGACCCCAGGCACATGCTAACAGTAGCAGTAACACTACCAGTAACACACATACCATTTCGAACGTGTCGACGCTTGTGTTGTTAGTGTGAGTGTGTGAAGAAAGTACATGTACGGAAAGAGGACTGGTTGGTCACAAAAGAGATTGTGGATGCGTGTTTGACGTAGGTTAATCGCAATTTAAAAAACAAAACAATTAATAACAATTAGAATTAAAAGTCGATATTTTTACGCCTCCATTGACAAAATTTCGATCATTTCGGAGGTGGGCTTCCGCCGACTCTGCCAGTCGGGAACAGAGATAACACACAAGAATCGAACTCGAGTCTCCTGCATGCGACACAAAGTGTCTAAGTACTCTAAGTCAGTCTAACACTACACCACTGACGCCGGCATCATCATAGAATCCAGTGTATGATGCAGTGGCGGGGCGCCATTGGTGCAAGCGCTCCACCTAACCCTGGCCTTCACCCCCAACCCCCCTTTTTTTTTTCTAATTGTTCTAAACCAGTCAGTGCTCTACTCTAGATCTACATTACTACATCCTTGTGATCCGTTACCCGCTGGCTGCGCCAGTGAAGAGACAGACAGCGAGGATTGTTTATGCTCGTCGTACCGCTTACGGTAGTGTCTGCTTGGAGCAAGCAAAATCTTTGCACCAAAGCTATTTTTGTTACAGTAGAGAAATCTAGACATCGTTCTTCCCGCACAAGAAGAAAGGTGCATGAAAATGCTCTTCGCAGCACCAATTTGGTGCAAGCTAAAAATTTGATCCAAGTTTCCGCGAGCATTTCTACTACACTATACTAGTAGTCACTACTAGAGTCCACGGTAGTTCAATGATGAAGAATGGGTATCGAAACTGTTGTCTCCCTCTATTGTGTAGCAATTTCTGGCGCTGCACGAAATACATTTGTAATTAGAAATCGTTAAATCTTCTCAGATTGTGGGCAGTGAGTTGTTAGTGTTGTTTCACTTTATTGCAGCTCTTATACGGTTTCATCTAGAACCAGTTGTAAATATCGAAAGATGTACATTACGGGATTTACTGCAGATTCTAATTGACTTTCTCGAGAAATCTTAATAGTAGCTACTATTACTACTAAGCCTATTGCTCATTAGCTCACTTTCCAATTATGCACCACCTTGTCTGCAACCCACGAGACGCCACTGGTAATGGTATGATGATACTATTGATACAAAATAGACTCAAAGAGCCCACCGGGCAGTGCCACTGACTGAAATGTCTTTAAACTATTCCCAAAGGGGGGAAATCTCTCGTTCAGTTCAAGCACAGTAGAATTGTAAATGAGCTGATCCAACAATGTAATGCTCATAACTGTGCCTGATCTGCAACGGCAACAGGGAACTGCTGCTTTTTCTTTCCTAATCCTCACTATCTTCATTTTCCTCTACTTCTTTTGTTTGTTTGCAACACTCTTGTGAACTGCTATTTTCGGGATTCCTTGATAATAGTCGAAGCAGACTTAGTGCTGTTGAATTTGAAGCTAGAGAGGTGAGCAGAGTAAGTCCGATTCCCTGTACATGTACTGTATTGTAACTATAAGTACTTCTCTATTGACATCCACCCCTTGGCGCTCATATGACCTTATGCAGTTGTGAGCGCCGTAAAACCTCTACTTAAACAGACTCAACGAGCACAGCATGTAGCCTACAATAGTAGTAGTACTACATCATACATGTACAAGTAATAATCCACAGTGCAGGGCAGTCTTTGATCGTAGTATGGTAGACACAGTTCTTTTGTTTTAGTAAGCATTTTACGGCACTTGTAACACAAATATTATAAGGTCATATTGATCTAAATGCCGAAGATTAGAGATGTTACAAGAGAGTCGTCATCCAGTGCCAGATCTGCGACAGACATCGGCGATCATGGTTTTCCATTCATTCCTTTGCTCGGATGCTCTCAAAAAAGCTACGTTTCCCCTGATCTTTCCCTGTTACTGTTACCCATTTGTTTAGGTTCCCTAAGTATGTTATTCTGGGCCTACCCTGGCTCGCTTGCCCTCAATTTTGCCAGTGAGAGCTAGATGTTCAAGAGTAAGACCCTTTATGTCTGTCTATTCAGGAGTCCCAAAAACTGTATTTGTCGTTTCCTGATTGTTTTTAACGTTGGGGCGTCCCATGTGGGCTTCTTCAAGCACTTCCTCATTTGATTCCTTTTCCTTCCACGATACTCTTAGCAGTCTCCTAAGAAACCACATTTCAGTTGCTTCGTTTTTATTTTCATAGAGAGCTTCGCTTTCACCCGGCCGGTTTTCTATCGGCCCGAGGCGGGGGCTTGCGACACCTATTTTCACTGACTTTAGTGATTGTCCAGCATTCACAGCCATATATAGAAGGGTTGACAAAACATAGCATTTCAGGACTTTCAAATTCATTTTGGTGTTCATTGAGATGTTTCTATTTTTCAGGATTGGGTTCATTTTTATTGAAACTAGCCTTAGCCATTGCAGTTCTCCTTTTAATTTCTGTGGAACATTTGGCATCAGATGTTATCATATATCCTAGATATTTATTAAAATTAAACTGTTGGATTTTAAAAATCTTTTCACCTTTGCTAATGAGATTACAATACAACTAGGATTTGCTGCTTTTTAAAATATGACCAAGCAGTTTTCTTTACCATTCAACAATACTCCTTTACGTTCACTTTTTGTTACAACAGTATCTAGAAGCAATTAAGTTACGGTCCTTTTCGGAGCCTGCTATTAAAACTGTGTCATCTGCATACCTGATGTTATTAATTATTAATATTTTCTCCATACTTTGAGACCTGGATATTGTTTTAGTAGTAGAGGTTTTACGGCGCTCGCAACTGCATAAGGTCATATGAGCATCAGGAGATAGGTGTTACAAGAGAGTAACAAACAAAAAAGGAGGGGAGATATGGATGATGATAGATGTTTGATAGGAAAGAAGAAGCAAACCACCCCAGAGCACCTGCCAACCATCCACTTGAGACCTGGACATTCTTCTGTTTGTAAGGATTGTTTCACAGTACATGTTAAAGAAGTCTGGTGACATAACACATCCTTGCCTCACTCCTCGCCTAATCTGTTTATATTCACTGTATTCTCCATCAATTCGTACAGCAGCGTTTTGGTCCCAGTACAAATTCCTGACAATTCTCAGATCTTTTCCATCTATGTCTAGCTGCTCGGTCAATTAGGCCTACTTTAAATTACACTTACAACTTACAGATCAAACTTCAGTGTTGAGACTATCCATTGTTTTTAAACAATAAACACACTATTTCCCCCCGGGGCAGTGCCACTGACTGTGGTGTCTTTAGGCCATCCCGGGACATTTCTCGTTCAAACATAGTAGAATTGTAAATGGGCTGATTCATGTCACTCTCATAACTGCCTGATCTACAACAGGGAACTGCTGCCTTTTCTTTCCTGATCCTTACTATTGTCATTTTCCTCTACTTCTTTTGTTTGTCACTCTCTTGTGACCTGCTATTTCCGGGGTGCCTTAATAGTAGAAGCAGACTTTGTGCTGTTGAAATGAGAGAGGTGAGCAGAGTAAGTCTGATTCCCTGTAAAGACTTCTCTGTTGACACCCACCCCTTGGCGCTCATATGACCTAATGCAGTTGCGAGCGTTGTAAAACCCTGTACTATTACCCCCCCCCCCCCCCAAAAAAAAACCCCATACTATTGGTGTCCGTCAAACTATGTATCTGCCAAATAAGGTCAAACGCTTTTTCGGGGGATAAAAAAATATAGCCTAATTCCTTTCTATTCTATTGTTATCCAGAATTCCTTTTACTTACTACAAGATAACCAATTGAGTGTAATAAAGGCTGTGAAGAACATAATTTTCACACAAAAAAAAGGGTTTGGTCTAATTTGCCAGATACACTGAGTCAGACACTAAAGATATTCTACCGCCAAGTTTTCTCGTTACTTCCCAGCTTCGTTTAGTTTTAGTAAGAGTTTTACGGCACATGCAACACAATATGGTCATATAACTGCCGAAGATTAGAGGTTCTGTAAGAGCGTAACAAACACAAAAAAGAAGGAGGGGAGATAAAGATGATAGGAATTTGATAGGAAAGAAGAAGCAAACCACACCAGAGCACCCTCCTTCCCAAGACAAAAAACACTATACAAAACATTACAAAACTCGTGAAAGTATTTTTCACATATTTATTAACACCAGCTCTCCTTATGCAATGATCTCGTATGGGATAGGTGTGAGGAACTCAGGCTGGATCCTCTTGGTGCTCACAAAGTGGGCTGTTCTGGGCTGAGCAGGCTGTGGAAAATGGACAGAGAGAAAGAGACTTGAGGTTACAACAGGAAAAAAACCCAAAAATCTCAGAACCAACAAAACAAAACAAGAAAGAGGCACTTGAAGTTGCAACAATAAAACACAAAACCTTCAGAATGAAAAAAAGAACCCCCCCCCCCCCAATAACAACACAGCCTAAATCCCAATGGGACAAAAAATGATAAAAACACATCATTACCATACTATTAATGACCCCCCAGAACGCAGTGCTCTTTCTGAGGAATGTGTATTACTCAAGCACAAACAAATGAACCCATCTTCCCACAAGTCATCCCATTCTTGATGACCTTTGAGGACCTGAGTTTACTAACCTGTCCCCTTGGTTTTATGCAAAAAAAAATTTAATGAAATTATGCAAACTGAGCCCAAAAATATGAAATTATGCGATTCTGTTAATTTTTTAACAAAGAACGATAAAGGAAAATAATCAGAAATTATGAAAAAAATTATCAAATATTGCTAAATTATGCGTGGCAGACTAACCCACCCACTACAGGAGCCTTCCAAGAAACATGACTTACTACAGGAGGAGGGGGGGGGGCTTAAAAATTCACACGACGTAAGAATCCCCACCCCCCTCCAAGCAAAAATAAGAAAAGCGTGAGGAAAAAAACCCAATACAGCACAGAAAAGTGGGATTAGTAGAATCTTCCACTCGAAGAAGCAGAGACAGGCCAACACTCTACCCATATACCATTATTATTCATTACACACGCGAGACATCAACAGTTGTAACACGACATTTTGATGAGTACACACAAGTTGGACAAATGGCTGACAAAGCCTTATAACTGTCACCGTCGTTTTATGCAAGAAAAATTCTGAACTTATGCACACTGAGCACAAAAAAGAGAAATTATGCGATTCCGTTAATTTTAACAAAGAACGATAAAAGAAAATAACCAGAAATTATGCAAAAAATGATCACATTTTGCTAAATTATGCAGGGTGCATCAAACCACGGGGACAGTTACAAGTACGTTTGAGTATGATAGACTCAACACCTATGTACCACATGACCAAGAAAAATTTAGAACCTCTTCACAGAAAACAATAACACCCACAAAGTAACCACATCTCCCCACACTCCTTCTTTGTGTTCTCCTGCTACAGTTCAGACTGGAGTATTTTAAGTTTTGGTAGGAACTTTAAATTTTGCCTGGGTAGCAGCCAAAGCCCACCAAAGGATTTTTAATGCTCTCAACTTGCACACAGGACCTACAAGATTTTTCACCTGTATCCGAAAAGGCTGGAAGCTGGATTTTACCTGCCCTAAGATCAGGGATGCATAAGGTCATATGAGCGTCAGAAGATTAGATGTGTTATAAGAGAGTAACAAACATAAAAAAGGAGGAGGAGATGAGGACGATAGATCTATGTTTGATAGGAAAGAAGCAGCAAACCACACCAGAGCACCCGCCAACCACCCACTATCAGTTGAAAGACAGCAGTAAGAAGAAACAAGGAAAACAGTAGAAAAGAGTCAAAATTAAAGCGAAAGGAACCCAGAGGACGGGGTAGTGGAGATCAGAACATGGAAGGATACGAAATGAGACAATTTTAGAGAATCCACCCCCCCCCCCCCCCGTCACCGACAGGTTTCAAATCCAGAACCTATTGAATGAAAGGCAAACATAGTACCTCTAGACCAAGAGAGGCCCCTTCTCTCAACCAATATAATCTCAATGTAGCCCTGAGAGCCAACAACTCACCACTCTCTTTGTGTTGACTCTGACACCCTTCTCCTTGGCTTCTCTCTTGAGGGCCTCGTTCCGTTTGACACGTTTCAAGAAGTCCAGACGGCAGTTGCTGTGCTTGATGTGCTCAAGCCTCACGTTGATCTTCTTGCTGAGGATGCGGTTGCTGCACACAGACAAAACAAAATAGTAATTAGTAATCATTATAATATGAGGAGATAGGAGAGGTTCAAAGACGACAAAGTATAAAAACTCCCCCATTTCACTTCCAAAATGAACCCCTTCCCAGTCAGTAGAGCTCATAGTGTACAATGTAAGCTATACACAGCACAAGCAACAAAAACCATCGCCAATATGATGGAAGATGTAAGTAAAAAGTTCTTCATTTTTTTTCCAATACAAAAGTAACACTAAGGGCTGCCCAAATTGAATACAGGCAAATTACTCAAATAAAAGAAAGCATTGTGCTCTAGAACTAAGTACAAAGTTATTTATAAAAAAAATGTAACATCAAGTGAAAAAGAAAACAGAAATACAAACTGTCCTTTCACATACAACAGTATACTCATATATTTTTTTTTCCTTCCTCACTTTCAAGGTTAAGCTAACCTTGTGGCTCACACATCACAAAAATTAACAATTAATGACGACATTCTCTTTTCCTCTTTCAGAACCGTATCTTTGTCAAAGAGATCACCTTGCACTTCCAACATAACAGAAAAAACTGTAAATGACAGTTGTTGTTTGTTTTTTTTAAAAGCATCCCATCAATATCTAGTTCCAGGCATGGTAGTGAAACCAACATGGGAACAGCACCCACAACAAAGTGCAGTAAGAGAAGAATCTTACCCGTTCTGTTTGTTGACCTCCACACCGACGGCATGTGGTGTGACGTTGAACACACGGCCTGTCTTTCCGTGGTAGAATTTGTAGGGCATACCCTTTTGGATAGCACCATCACCCTGAAAAAAAGAAGTGTGCACACAAGGTTTCAAAACTACCATGAGAAGATGATTCCCACAATATTAATTAATGAAACTTGATCCATTTCCCCACTGCAGCTACCATTACTAGCAGCAAACTAGCCCTTCATTCAGACTTATTTCACTGGCAGCAGTTTTCATTACATCCGCATAGATTGGGGAATCAAGGAAACAACTACCATAACCCATTACACCCCCAAGGGTTTGAACGGGAAGTCTATAGTATTCCCAAATACTAAGCAAGGGGAGATAACCCACCACCTGGATACAAGTATAAAAACAAACAAAAACCCAAAATACAAAACCAAACCAATATCACAAAATGGCGAAAAAATAACGAGAGAAATAAATGTAGTTTACGAAAAATAAAACGTAATTGGCACTGTAGGTTCTTCGAAATGTTTTAATTTTACTACTTCTGACCTAGCAGCCACTCCACCCTCGTGGTCAGGCTCTGGATCTAGATTCTAAATCTGATTCATCTGAATCGACCCTTAACTTCTTCTGTTTTCATCAATATCGTATTCATCATTTGCTTGTCCTAGCTCACGTGAACAGCATCGCTTTTAAAATAGTAGAGCCATCTTCGGAGTTTCGAAAATGTAATCACACTTTGAACAGTTTATTTATCCGTAACTCTGGCAAGGGCCGATTAGATCGGCCCATTTCCTGACATGAATATGATGAAACTGGCAGGGCCGATCTCATAGGACCGTATAGTAAACTGCTGCTTCTGCCTTCCAACTAAATATTTGGGGATTCCTAAGGTGATTTTTCCTTGGCTAAAAGGCTGACCTTCAACCAATCAGAATATTTCTACCATTCTGGCTTAGGGGAAGAGATTTTCCTTTCAAAACAGAGGGATGTTTAGAACGCTTGTTGATCGGAACACAAGCCAGTGTAGATCTATCACTTGTGCTACTCATGTGGCTCTAAAATGGCCAAAAATCGATCTTTGTTCTATACATTTGAAAGTGAATCGACTAGGGAAAGTAATTTAGACAGTATTAGTGATGGATTTATTGGTGTTCAGTAAAGAATTGGGATTAGATCTGACAGACAATGGGGCTACCAGTTCTTATCCTGCCCCAACTTCTCTTTCAAATAGAACACTACCTTTGGGAGTCTAAGAGGGGCAGAAAAAGGAGAGCTATAGAGTAAAGTAGGTTCCTTTTGCAATACTACTTATATTACAGACTACAAGCAGATTGCTGAAAACCAATCGCTGTACTTAGAGTGTTTTTAAATTGAGTATGGTGTGAGAGTTGCGAGTATCAGTCGTGTTCGAAACAGACCACATGACAAATTGAAACAGTCATTATAACCCATTACCTGTTCTTCTCAAACCTATAATTATAAAACTATACATTTTCTGAAAAGTTATTGAAAAACCTATATTTCTGCTATCTCACATGTTTCATAACATTAAATATATTAGATTGGTGAATATGCTAATGAGTATGTACATTTTTTATGTCAGCCATCTTGGACTTCAAAGTTACATAACCCCTTGTAAATTAAATCAAATCATATGTTCAAATACAAAATGAAAAAGTTCATTCAATTACCTTTCAGAAAATAAATACTTTTGTAGGGTTATTATTTGATACAAGTTCATAAATTTTATTTGTAAAGCATGTGCATGTTTCGGCTGATTAGCCTTGCCATTCCTGTTGAAACCACTTGTCAGAGTTAGGGTTAAGAATCAAAAGGAAGAAGAAACATTTCGCAACGACTATGCAAAACAAAATCTCAGCCCAAGTCTAGTCAAGGCATTTAATAGCAGGGTTTCCCTTCATACAATTGGCTTGGCTAAACACAGATTAGCAAATAGTGTAAAAACAGTGATGAAATCAAAACTGACGGGTGCAGCTTTGGCGTTTCCTGTATGTCCAGGCCAACTATTGCACTGTTGGTAACGACAGCCAGCGAGTTAAAATGGAAATTACAATCTTCAAGCCATGTGATCTTCATGCTGCTTCTTAAACACACAGACTCTACTACGATTTTTCCAAGATTTATTTTACACCCCCCCCCGAGGAACACAACCACACCACCAAAAAATATGGACTATGTATGGGGAGCATATTCCTAGTCCAGCCACCTGTAACATACCTTGATGTCAACAATATCTCCGCGTTTGTACACGTGCATATAACGTGACAGCTTGGTGACACCCTTTGTCCGGAATTTCCGGGAGAACATGTACCGCGTACCGCGGCGATATCCCTTTGGATTCGTCATTGTGATTCAGGCCCTAAGGAAACACAAAAATAATACATTCAAATATACTTCTTTAAATAAATACAGTTGAGCATACATATCTTGAACACGGGGATTGACAAATATATTTTAGTTTAAGTAGAGGTTTTACGGCGCTCGCAACTGCATACGGTCATATGAGAGCCAGAAGAATAGAGGCGTTACAAGAGAGTAACAAACATAAAAAAAGAAGAAAGGGAGATAAGGACGATAGATGTTTGATAGGAAAGAAGAAGCAAACCACACCAGAGCACCCGCCAACCACCCACACAAATATATTTGACACATCTGTAATTTAAGTAAATCACAATGAGAAAAAGTCCCGACAATAAAACACAACCGTCATGAAAATTACCCGCTATATTACTCGATAAATAGATGAAGGATGGAAAGTGATTGGTCTTTCTGTGTCGAAGCAAGAGTGACGCTGATGAGCCTTAGAATGACAGATTTTATTTATTTTCTTTTAAAAAAAGAAGATCGCCCTTACCACATCACAATTACGACAATGCAACCAACACTGGTCAGAGTCGGAACACATCTACCACCCCTTTTGTGCAATCACTTCTCGATCCATTTCACATTCAATCACAAACACTCACACAAACAAAACCGTAATTCACACACCATACGGCCCAATGCAGAGCCACACGTCCTGTCTCAGGTTACACACCACCACCCACTCTCACACACGGGAAGGACTTCTCTAACGTCAACCGCCCCAACAAATACAATAGAGAAGAGACCTAACCCTGACCCAACCCCTTACCCAAAACCTCTATTTCATATTGGTCACACGTTACCGAATTCCTTCCCTCACATGATTAGATTCTAAAAAGTTCTGGTGCCTTACAATTTAAACACACTACACAACAACAGGTAGCATAATAGTCAACTACAAGCCATGATACATCTCGATACATGTAATCTTCCACAAAGTCATACACCAATTCTGAGTAGAAAATAGGAGATAAGATCTAATCTGGTTTAGGCCCATTCCATTATTTTCCTATAGGCCTAGCCTACTGCAATCCCAACTATCATTTAAATATACCATTAATATTTCATTACTCTTGGAGCCAAAACCGGAGATTGTCAAAAATAGCTCTGGGGAACCATGTGTTTGAGTTTGGCATTTGTATGTGTCCCACCTGTCTAAGGTGAACTTTTCTAGTGTGGAAGAAGACACTCTGTGCTTATGCCAAGACACTGTGCTTATGCCCTTTCAAGAACTTCTGTGTTTGGGATCTTATCCCTTCAGAGAATCCTCAGTGTTCTTCTCAAACAGGAGAGATGAGAGATGAAACCGGTAGAACTTTTATCCTAGCCCTTCCCTGACAACTGTTCTTCACCACATGACATGTCATCTGGACACAAGCGGATAGTTAGAGAACATCAGGAGTACGCCATTGGCCGATATTTAGAGTAACAGTGTCATAAAACAGTGTTCTTCATTCTGACAAAAGAAGTTCTAGACCTACTGTCTCATCGGAAAAAAAAGGAGTAAAAAAAAAAAAAAAGCCTGTGGCTATGCGTACGGCCCTTAAATTTAGATAGAAATATGCTCACGGCCTTGATAATCGCTCAGCTGGACTGCGTCACTTTATCGATCGATATCTTTGCCAAGACAAAGATTTTGTGTATAAGAAGATAGTTCACTCTCTATAATTGAGCCAATTAAAAAAGTGTCCTCAATATTCTGTGGTACCCTCTTCCAAAAAGTGCGGACTTTGAGATCAGTTACCCTACTTGTGTGAAAATATATAATAAAAGTGAAACTAACAAACTGTGCTATTCCTATTCTTCTTCTGGTGAAACGAAAGAGAGCTTCAAAACAAAGACTGCAGCATCATCTGAACCAATGTGCGGACTTCCGCGTACACCCTTTTGGCTGAGTGAAATATTTTGTTAGTACGATCTTTGGCCAAGAGACTGTCTACAAGGTCAAGATAACTTGCAAAGTCATTGGTCACTATTTATAACTTTGACCTGTAATTTACTACTAGATCTACACCATTTTCCTTACAAGGAATGCTGAAATTTTCCATAGAAAAAAAGGTCAGCGTCTTAGCCCTTTATAGCTGGGAGCTTCTCAATCGCAGTAGGTCCTCCCTATATATAGATCTAGGGCCTGCGCGCTCCCTGGCTCACGTCCTATATAAAGGGCCTGCGCGCTTCCAGGGTTTAAGTTTGTCCACTTGTATTGTCCAGTTTGATAGTTTATGTGCCGCCTACAAAGCCTAAGTGAAGTGGACGGCTGTACACATAGCCTCGATGCTTCGAAGTGGCTATGCGTACGGGAGGGCCGTACGCATAGCCACTTCGAAAAAAGAAAGCTTTTTCGGTAGTTCCCACCCAGCAATTTTATTCACAGGTTTGGGCCACAAGAGTAGGGGGGTTTCAGGGGGGCTAATAAAAATAGGAAGGGGGGTTTCAGGGGGGCATGCCCCCCTGAATTTTACCATAATTTAATGTTCGAAGTGTATACAGACCCGGTAACCGGGAACAAAGTCACAAAGTATACAGACCCGGTAGGGGAACTCTTTTGTGATTTCGGAGGGTTTCAGCGCCCAGACCCGGTAGTGTGTGTGTGTGTGTGTGTGAGTTAGAGAGAGAGAGAGAGAGAGAGAGAGAGAGAGAGAGAGAGAGAGAGAGAGCGCGCGCAGGGGGAAGTGCTAGCAAAATGTATATAATATGACATGTCTGCCAGTTGGCAGGAAGGAACGAAAGACAGAGACAAACAAAGAAAAAAAGAATGCGAGCGATACAGAGAGAGAGAGAAAGAGAGAGAGAGAGAGAGACTGCTCGATTGAAATTATGACATTGTTCTTTTCTTCAAATTGTGATTCCTCTAACTCCAAAACAGGGGAAAAACGATCGTTCATCGAAAAGACATCCGCAATCTTCATTTAGTTTTAGATCTAGATCTAGAATCTAGATCTAGGCTAGCCTCGAAACTAGATCAATGATTTATATCTGTCTGTCTAGATCTAGACCTAGGCCATAGATCTAGAAGAACCTAGATCTAGATCTAGTTCTACCCTGAGCCAAAGAGGGTGCTGAAAGTTTCCGAAATCACAAAAGAGTTCCCCTACCGGGTCTGTATACTTTGTGACTTTATTCCCGGTTACCGGGTCTGTATACACTCCCTTTAATGTTTTGCAGTTGTTAGGTTTGATATCTTAGCTCACCGCGAATCAAACGTATAGATGTAGATCTAGGTTAGGCTCAAATAAGGGGGGTGGGAACTACTGAAAAAGCACCGCTTTTTCTTCTCTTTCATTTTAGCAAAGTGTAGATGATAATGCTCATTATATTATTATGTTAAAGAATAGGCTAGGTCAAACAAGATGGATGTTACTATAAATATAGGAAAATGGCGTACTCCTGACATTCTCTAACTATCCGCCTGTTCATCTGGAATGTGGTGTGGTGGTCATCATGCACAAGAGTTTATTTGATTACAAGGGCTCAACTTCAGACAGAAATATCATATCAGATCTTCAACTTAGCTACTTCAACAAAGGTCAAAGATCGTCAAATGGCAACAGAGACAGAAGAAAGAAGGTGTATGATCCCAACAGTGGGGGTAGCTGACTGGAGTTGGGGTAGGCTGAGACTGGTGAGTGGTGAGGGTGAGGACAAAGTCAGCTTCTTCTGCTATTCTCCCATCTGCTCCATAATTAGATTTTGACACAATAACCAGTTATAAATTCTGCGAAAGTCAAACTTAGTTGAAAAACTACACTTGTCAAACCTGAATTATCGTTTTTCAGACTAAAACGAAGAAAGGCGATGTAAGAAGACCAAACGTGGCTCTTCACACTGTAACTATTCCACTCGTGGCGCCCATCCCGTTATCGAAAATAGGGAAGGAATCGGGGATCGATTGTGAGACTTGTGAACGAGGAAAACTATGAACCTGAAGTTGACAAACCCATGTGTATTGCTTACTTTATTAATAAAAAAAAGAATAAAAGTTTCAATAAATTGCCAGAATACTTATTTGGATGATGTATAAAACTTAAAATGTCAGCCTGTCATGTTTTACCTGCGCTTCCAAACGGCATGCAAGGGGAAAAGGACCGGTGATGAGATAAATTTGTCGACTTTCCCAATTTCACGGTAATGTTTGAAAGCAGAATTACAGAGACAGTTTTAAATGATTATTTACCCTGGTTATGCTAAATTGACGTGAAATACGTTTTATTACTTTTTCAGTGACCATTTATTTTGAGCTTTGCATTTTTGTTTTGTCTGTTTTGCCCTGAAGAAGTTCTTTTTTGAAAGTGTAATATAATTTGCATCTACACCGCTTTCACCTCTTGACTTGTGGAAATGAAAATGAGAGAATATAATTCAAAGACTACATGTAGGAGTTAATCAGAATCTAGATCTATATTCATTTGGAATTTTAGTAATATTAAATCAACGTATCTTTTTAATTCACAGGTATTGATTTCAATGTTGATAAATCCCATTCGGTCCGTTACTGATATCTGAACCCAAAATGCATCAAACTAAAACAATATGGCTACCTAGTTGTACTTCCTGGGTGATATTATCGTATTTTTTTGAGGAGGATATCAAACTTTGCAAACATAACAGCTTTGAAGCCCACGTTTAGCGCCTGTTGCGCTGTCGGAGAGATGGTAGGTGATCTTTCTGGAAAGTTTTTATCCCCATGTTGTTTTGTTACGTTTTCTCCTCCAAGACTCGATAGAACCAGTGACTGTGAGACTGGACTGGAACTGTCACAGTCACAGTTCAGTAGAATCTGAGAGTAGAAGAGTTGTATTCTAAGTTTAGTGTATGAGTAGCCTACACCTAGCCTACCCGCGACACGCTGAAACAACAAAACATTCGCAGATTCAGATCATCACTAGAATTAACCAACTGTCCCAATAGTGTTCCTTGTCTTTTAGTTCTGACTGACTCAAGAGTTTGTATGGTATGGCAGACATGTTCAATTGTGAATCAGAAGCACATCTCTTCCGCTGCAGCTGCTGCTGCTGACTGCTGTCTTTCATTTAAAAAGCACACATCTTATTTTTGGACTTCTTGAAAATTTAAAGGACTTGAACAGGGAAGTGGTGTCTACCAAACAACCTGCCCCTTGGGAGAAGCCTTGGTTACCGTTTGATGAAGATTGCCGCTAACTCAATTTTCAAAAGGTCTCCTGCCCACCTCCGCCTCACTTTCTTTAGACTTACACACACGCACAAGTCCTAATCATGAAGTGTGCTGATGTTACTACACTAGAAAGTGACGGCATAAGTAGTATCAACTTTCAAGTTAACCACTGTTTGATCGTAGGGCAGTATTGTTACACACAGTAGCAATGACAATGAAAAATTAAATTTTCATCCAAATTGCTTTAAAATGGACTTAAATGAAAATAGAGTAAATTCTAAGAACTATGGTTTTTAAAAATTAAAAATCCATTGATAAATAAAAAAGTTATTGGGATTTTTGTTTGCAAAATGTTGGAGGACCTTCATATAGGAAAAAATCGCCAAAATGTGGGACATGTTTTGATGTATTTTGAGGAAAA